GTAACTACTGATTGTGCTCTGGCATACTGAGAAGAGCTGTATGAGTGCTTTTGTGTGAAAAGTTCCAGAGCTGTAAAATGTTTCTCTTGAAAAAATAAATTTTATCAAGCTATCTCCATTTCTGTGTGCATCTAGTCTATGACAAACCTGCATGCATGTAGCAGTAAGTTGATTTTAGAAATATGGATCCCTTTGGCTTAACATGAATTATTAACTTTTCACATGGCATTATTAACATTCAAAGAAAAAAAGGACAGAAGAGGCAATAAAACGAAGAATTGGAAATCTTCATTTCAGAAAGGAAAGAAATAAAGGGGAAAAAATGAAGGGAAATTGTAGGAGATTTTAATGTTAAAGGGAAGGAATAAAAATTTTTCAAAGAATAAGTCATTTGAAAGGGAAAATGTTACTCTCCTATTATTTATCTGCCTAATCCCTTTCACAAAGTTACGAACAATTAGCGACTAGCTTTTTGGCAACTTAACATATGAAAAACAGCAGCCATATTAACCACGAGCATGTGTGCCAGATATATTCTTTGTCCTTTATCTCCAACCCCCTTTCCTGGAAATGGGCAAAACATTTTGTGGCTGAATTCAAGGTCACATTCTTGAAGCTGGGAAGTCCATGAAGTGATTCTTCAAATATTTTTCTAGGAATAGTACCGTTGTGGTATGCGACACTTGCACACTTTCTCACGTCTCTTAGATGTTCACACTCTCTTAGTTAGTCAGCATGGCATGGCATCTAAGTTATGATAAAGAAAATGGAAAAGTTGAGAAATATGTTAGAAACCATTTCAGCAGATGAAGAAAATTAGCAAAGACGAGAAAGAATCAACAGATGAAGAATACAACAGCAATCATAATTCATCAACAGACAATGATACAGACACTGAAATAGAAAATGGACCAAATAATGAAAATTCTGTTAGTAAAAATGCCCTGATATGGAAGAAAAACAAATTCTGAATGAATGTTAGGAATTGTTTTAAAAACATTATCTTCAAAATTCCAGGAAATGCAGGTTTTTCAAAAGATGCATCAACACAGTTGGATTCCTCGTCTCTGTTCATCCACAAAGACATGATAGTTCAATGCACAAATATTTACATTTATTCTATTCAGGAGCAATTTGTACGTGAGCACGATGCAAAGAGAATGAATGAATGTGAAATCAAAGCACTTTTGGGAGTTTTGTATATATGTGGTGTTCACAAATCCTCTCACGTAAATGTAAAAGATCTGTGAGCATCAGATGGAACTGGAATGAATATTTTCCACAAAACAATGTCCTGCAAGCGATTCTTTTTCCTACTAAGATGCCTTTGGTTAGATGATATTCGAGATTGTCCAAGTAGAAGAGACTCGCTCCCATAAGACAGAATTTTTGAAAAATTCATTGAAAACTGTCAGAAAGCCTACACTGTAGGTGTAAGTGAACAATTGATGAAAAATTAGAACTATCTAGGGAACGTTCATTTAGACAATACATGCCTAAAAAACCTGCCAAATATAGCACAAAAATATTCACACTGGTTGACTCCAGAGTGTTCAATACAAGGAAAATGGAAATATATGCCGGCCAACAGTCAAAGGGGCCATTTCAGCTTGATAACAATGCAAGTGCTATTGTAAAGCATTTTATGGAATCATTGTACAATTCTGAATGGAACTCGAGTGAAGATAATTGGTATATGGGATACCGGCTATTTCAGGACCTACTAATGAAGAAAATAACTACAGTCAGAACTGTGAGAAAGAATAAGAGAGAAATTCCACCAGATTTTTTCATGAAGAAACAGGAAGCATATTCTTCAATTTTTGGTTTTCAGAAAGCAACAATGATTGTTTTTTATGCACCAAGGAAACACAGAAGTGTTGTTCTACTATCAACTATGTACAATGATAAAAAACTGACATAACCACTGGGGTACTAAAAAAGCCGGAGATTATTTCATTTTATAATCTAACCAAAGGAGCTGCAGATGAAATGGGAGGAGCATATTCTACAGCTAGATACCTATGGTGATTTGTTTCTTGATTTTAAATGTTGCAGCAATTAATGTACAAATAATCTTACTTTCTATAAAAGAACCACCAACCTAGTATAAAGACAGGCGTCCTTTTTTCAAATCATTAGGACTGAAGTTAGTGGAAGATTACACAAATCAACGGTGGCAGCAAATCATGCTTCGTTTGAAACTAAAAGAAAAAGTAATTTCAGGAGATTGCAACATGGAACCACCATCTAAAAACATTTACAGAAGATGGACTACTGTCCTAAAAAGAAGGACAGAAAGACACGGTTTCTGTACGAGAAATGTCAGTATTTGTATGGAGCATATGTGTTCAATCTGCCAGAGATGTTCAAAATAATTGTAAGTTAAGTATTTCATTCAAGTCCATTGTTATCCATATTTATACTGATATTTATATAATTAATGCCATTTAGAATGCATTAATTGCTTTCAGGAATGACATACCCAACGTGTCTTCTCATGTTCGTAATTTTGGAGCATATGCTCGTGGGTTAAGAAATAGAAGTGCACTGAAAATTACATAAAACAGTGATGAATTAAAAAAAAAAAATAAAAATAGAAACACAAGAAACATCCACAATAAACACTGAAAATTACATACAACAAGCATCCACAATAAACCACTGAAAATGACATAAAACAGCAACAAATTAACTAAATTAAAAGCACAACACACATACATAATAAAGTTTCTTTTTTCCCAGTCTTTTGTCCATGTGCATAACAATTAGTTTCAACATTAAAAATATCAGAGAATTACAGAATTCTTAGCATGTTCAGAGAGAGAGTTTTAAAATTCTCAATATTGCTTAGCAACCTTGGCACTGCTAAGTACACCTCAATCTATTTTAACTTAAAAAAAGTGTAGAGACATTAAGTTAATTGGAAGCAGAAGAGATGAAAAATTAGCAACACCTTCGACGGGAATCAAACCACTAACCTCTGAAATACCGGTTCAGTGTGCTGACCACTACACCACGCTAGGAAAGCGGGGAAAATACCTTATATAATCGACCTTGTAAAGGGAGACTGGGGTTTTTAGGGGACCTAATCGCCAAATCCTGGGTGAGGAGAATTATCATCCAACACCTTTTTAGTTCGGGCTCCACAGAAGAAACATTAGGTATTATTTCGGAAGCAAGAATCATGAAAAATTAGCAAAGCATTCGCCGGGAATCGAACCACGGACCTCTGGAATACTGGCCCAGCGTGCAGAACCACTACACCACGAAGGCATGCTAGGAAGGCAGGAGAAATACCTTGTAGAGACATCAGGTATTTTTGAAAGCAGGCAGGATGGAAAATTAGCAATCGCCTTTGATGGGAATCGAACCACGGACCTTTGGAATACCGGCCTAACGTGCAGAACCGCTACACCCCGAAGGCATGCCAAGAAGGTGGGAGAAATACCTCATATACTCCCCCTTTTTAAAGGGCGACTGGGGTTTTTAGGGGACCCAATTGTCAAATCCTGGGTGTGGAGAATCTTCATCCAACATCCTTTTAGCTTGGGCGCCACTGTAGAGACATTAGGTATTTTTGGAAGCAGGCAGGATGGAAAATTAGCAATCGCCTTTGCCGGGAATTGAGCCACGGACCTCTGGAATACCGGCCCAGCATGCAAAACCGCTACACCACGTAGGCACGTCAAGAAGGTGGGAGAAATACCTCATAACCTTATAAAAGAAATCTGAGAATTGAAAAAGGTATTATCATTTAAAAAACATCAGAAAAAAAGCTATTACCACAATCATTTGTTAAATACAACTTCATGGAATGTGGATTATACACCATTTCAAGGCAAAATGCCATATTTCTGGGGGGGGAAGCAGCAATACTTTTTTTTTCATTAGCAGGCAAATTCTACAGTGGCATTAAGAAGTGGTACATGGGGAAGAAACTCTACATACGAATCATAGTAAACAGAAACCACAAACATGGCCCTTGAATTTTAAAACCATGAGCATTAATGCTGGCATAATGCATGCACAACCATTAATGAGTTCAGGGATAAATACATTTTCACGAAGTTTCAAGGTTAGGTGGAGAGTACCAAGAAAACTCCAACATGTAAATCCAACACAATACAAACTTGTTTGTATGATCTGATTAACACAAAATCAAACAAGGGCTGTTTGCATATGGGAAGAGATGCTTTGTTGGAAGACCTTTCTAACAGCAACTAACCTATGTTTACGATAAACATGAGGAAAACCACAAGTCTTATGCAGTTCTTAATAAATTAGTCAGTCAATACATACCAGTATGATAGAGGTCTCCAAGACAGTCTCATCCAACAACAGTAACAGCTGGAACAGAATTTCATGTCATGGCCTAAGCGGAATATCTGTACGATTATTACCCCTCCATAATTTTGTAGCGATTTTATCCTGCTTACATGTTTTATTTTTCTTTCAACAACTGTTTAGTATACAAATTAACGATGAAAGATCTTGGAGTATCTTGATTTCAGAAATTTCAGCCTCATGCAAGAAAATTCACTCATTTGTAACACTGATTTGAATGTTCTCAAGAACAGCTTTCCATGATAAATGACAATATTTTTTTTCCCTTCAATTATCTTATTAACTCATAAACATTTGAATGTGTATTAAAAAAATTTGAATGAGCATAGGTGTCTTTACACTTCCTTTAAATATCATTTTCTGAGTTATCAAAAGCATTATTAACAAAACATGTTTTAAATTAATAAAATGCAGAGGGAAAAAAACTTAAGTGAAGAGCACAAAAATTCAGAGAAAAACTGTTATTTTAAGATAAAATCATATCTAAGATGAATCCTTAGATATGTTTAGAGATATCTTTATAGATGTTTACATGGAAAAAGGATTGTATTTCAGAATTAAAGAAATACACTAAGTTTCATTTTTAATTGCCTGAAGAGAGAAATATTTTATTACTATACAAATGCAACATCAGATTACATCTGAATACATACTTGAGAAATGTTTGATCCATGGTATAAAAGATCATGAATTGCTTGAAGATTAAAACTTTCTTCTACTTTTGTGTAAGGGCATAGCACCACATGTCCAATCATAACTATATATAACATAAACTCCACACCCTAAAACATAATAATGATAGTCAAAATTATACAGCAGTTTAAACATCATCATCATATGAGTTTAAACACTTCATTAAGTGAAAATTTTCAGTAATTCCACATATTTTAATTGTGTACATTACCTTTATTTTAATGAGTGATTTTTATATAATTCTGAGACTAAATATTCACAAGACTTAATAAAATTCCACTTCATTAAAAGAAAGCATATATTCTAGTAAAGTTTCTTCATTTGTATTTCCTTTTTTAAACAATCATAAACGAAACCTCAATTTATACTGAAGATAGATAGGTTCTGCACAAAACCATGTAAATTGAAATCTTTGATTTTGCTACATAAAACCACGTAAAACGAAAAACACACTAAATGTGCATAATTTAGTTATTTATTTACATAAAACAAAAGAAAGACATCTTAAAATAAATAAACTTATACTTTGTTCATAAAATAACAAAATATACGCAGGTAACAGAAGTACATATTTAATTTACTTTACATCAGGAAAATATAAGACCATTCAAAAAACTTATTGTAAGTTTAATCACTGTCATCATTTTCACAAACTATTAGTCTTCTCTTCTTGAATGTTAAGATGCCCCTTTCATCATTTGAGCGTTCTTGATAAGATTCAGCTTTAATGATTGACAAATTAAAGAAGATCTCAGATCAATCCCTATTTAACAATTGCCTAGGTTTTTTTTTCGCTAAATCTTTGTAAACCTCCTCATATTGATTTAAGCACTTGCTAAGCTCCCATTGGAATCGGAGAGCTTGTTCAACATTCATGTCATATTGTAAAAAATGATTATCCAATTTACTTCCCAATTCAAAGCCTACACTGATGACTCTTGCTGTGAATGCAACTGGTTAAATTTGCTCTTCATCAGAATCATTGTCTTCTTCGTGTTTATTTGTTTCATGAATCATGTTAACTAACTCATCCTCATTTAGTTCTTCAGCCATTATTTCTTCAATATCTGCCTGAGATTAATCCTCAAAACCTTCTCCTCCTATAGTTTGGGCCAATTTAGTGATCTGAGAATATTCATGCTCTATTGGTAATCTATCATTCTCATCTTTAGCAGCATCTGGCCATATTGCCTTTCAGCATGCGTTGGGTGTTTAATCTGAGTACATGACAGTCCAACACCCTTAACACAATCTAAGGTTGTAAATTTCTTCGAATCATCCATAAGAGGAAAAGATTCATCATTCTTCATTTGTTCTAATATATACTTGAAGATTTGTTTGATATACAATGCCTTAACCCTTTCGCGTCTAACAGGACACATACGTCCCAAGCAAATTTCAAAAAATACTTTTGGGATAGAAACGCTTCTCTGTCTAATGGAAGACTTTCCCGCCAGTCCTGCCAATATTTTTGAAGGTATTTTCATTCACAGAACATAGATGGCACTACCGTACATAATGCAATTCCAGCATTTTTGAACTGTTGTTAACAGCTCATTCCATACTCTACGAACATAAATAGTTTAGTTTTGGAAAATACCACCTATTTTTGATTAAATTTTGATTTATCCATAAATATAAGGCCAGATAAGTTACTCACGAAGCAGATTACCTCTAATAAATTGTAAGTGGCAAAATTTTACTTCCGTTTTTATTATCGGGACATATTGTGTCCCTCTCGTCTCGGATAGTGGGAACACATTGTCCCAACAGTCCTACGTGATCATTTCTCTAGATATTATATTTTTTGGTTACTTTTGAAATAGTTGCCTATTATTTTTAATTTAGGCACATATTAATTCAATCTAAAATGACTCGACATCGGAGACTCACTAATGAAGAAATCAAAAAAATTTTAGAAGAGTCAGATGACGAAGATGTTGATTTGAATGATGAAATAGATGATTCCGATTTTCAAGATCCAACACACAATTTGCAGTACTCATCCAATTCAGGCGAGTGTGAAATGGTTATCGATCATGATACCATTCCCTAAAATACAAAGAACAGCGATGCTTTGAGTGATACTGATACGGCATCACTTTCATCAGTTGATGAGATACCATCAGCTAATGCTTCAGGCTGCAAAAAAATCTTATGGTTTCATGCAGATTCAACTTTCCAACCTCGAATGGCAATTCCAGTAGAGTCATCGCCTAGTTTGGTAAACGTAGCAACTTAAATCGTTCAGCTATCGAATTGCACTTGTTTCTCAAGATATTTCCAAAAAGTCTTATGATTTGGATCTCTCAATGCACGAACCAATGACTCGAAAAGTTAGGACAAACAATTCACCCTAGACCCCTTTGAAATTATGCTTGTCCTTGGATGCACGCTTGTCATGTCTTACAATAGGGTGCCGAAATTCTCTCATTATTGGTCATCTAATCCTTCTTTGGTAAACGTAGCAATAAAAAATGCTATTTCAAGAGACAGATGTAAAACGCTGCTGTCGAAACTACAAGAAAATACAAGTAAAACATATTATATTGACGATGTTGTTTCATGCCTGAAACAAACCTTCAAACAGTGCCGAAGCGAAAGCTCATATCAAGCTATTGATGAATCAATGGCGAAATTCAAGGGATGTTCATCCCTCAAACAATATATGTCGATGAAACTTGTGAAAAGAGGGATAAAAATTTGGTAGCGATGTGATTCAAGAACAGGATATGTATATGACATGAACATTTATTCCGGAAAAGAAACGGGTGAAGTTCAAGGCACACTTGGGGAATGGGTAGTATCAAAGCTAACAGAGAAAATCCGAGGTAAAGAAGTGATGCTTGCGTTTGACTGATTTTTTACAAGCATGCAACTGATGGAAACCCTGAAATTTCCTGCTGTTGGTACATGCATCAAGACACGCAAAAATGTGCCTAATTTTGGAACAAAACTAAGCAAAAGGGGTGAGGCTGAGTTTCTCGTAACTAAAAATGGAAACATTGTGTGCGAGGTGGCTTGATTCAAAGGAAGTGACGATGCTATGCTAATTGTAATTGCCACAAAGCTAAATACACAAAAGTAAATTGCACCATGAAAGATGGAAGCAAAGAAGAATCTGAGTGCCCTGTGGCAATCAAATTCTACAACAAAATCATGGGAGGTGTAGACCTTGCAGATCCAATGGCTAATGTCTATGAATTAGATCAAAAATCTTGCAAGTGAAGGAAAAAAGTATTTTTTTGCCTATTGATGAGCGCAGTGGTCAACTTATGGATTGCATACTGCGAACTCAAACATTGAAAAACCCCACTTCTTGATTTCATTGTACATCTTGCAGAAGCCTTGATGGCGTCTGGAAAGCTCAACACACAGTATCAACGCCGTAGAGGAATTGGATGCCCATCCAAAACATCACAAAGCTTACTCAATGTTGGTGACCATCTGCCAGTAACAACAAAAACATGACGGCCGTGCCATAAATGTGCACGATGTGTAATGTGCATTGATTGTTTCAAACCATACCATTCGTAATTAAATTTTTATGACTAGAAAATCATTGGTTTTCTTTACAAAATTACTCATTGAAGACTACTGGGACACATACAGTGGATGGACAAAAATATGGAAACACCTTTTGAAAAAACGTTTTTGACTACTGATGCCACCTATACAACTTCGTAAATGTGCTAAACTGTTCAGTTGTTGTCGGAGTACTGTTATGTGAGGTTGTCATTGCATTATGTCAGAGTTAACAGACTTCGAACGTGAGCAAATTGTTGGAGCACGTATGGTAGGTGCTTCCGTAAGCAAGGTAGCCGAGGTGTTTAGTGTTTCAAGAGGCACTGTATTGAAGATTTATTCCGCATACTTGAAAAGCGGAAAAACATCATCTGCTAAATCACAGCACAGACGAAAGTGTGTCCTGAGTGATCGTGACAGACGATCATTAAGGGCAATTGTGACGAAAAATAAGAAGACCACAGCTGCAAAAGTTACTGCTGAAATTAATGTTGTGTTACCGAACCCTGTGAGTACCAAAACAATTGGAAGGGAGCTTCATAAACAGGGAATTGCTGGCCATGCTGCAATTGAGAAGCCACTCATCAGTGATGCTAATACCCCTAACAGGAAAAGGTGGTGTTTAAGTCATAAAGCCTGGACTATAGAGCGGTGGAAGCGAGTAATAGGGTCTGACGAGTCTTCTTTCACATTGTTTCCCACTTCTGGCCGTTTTTACGTCTGGAGAACGCCATCTCAAGCCTATAATACAGACTGCTTGTTGCCAAGAGTGAAACATGGAGGGGGTTCTGTTATGGTTTGGGCAGCCATATCGTGGTTCTCTGCTAGCCCCATGATAACTGTGTCAGGGCACATGACTGCCAAGACTTATGTGAACATTTTGGCCGATCAAGTTCATCCCATGGAACAAACTTTGTTCCCCGATGGTGATGGTGTCTTCCAAAACGACAAAGCCCCTGTTCACACAGCTCACATTGTCCAGGGCTGGTTTTCTGAGCACGAGGATGAGTTGTCCCATCTCCCCTGGCCACCACAGTCGGCAGAATATTATCGAACCTTTGTGGTCTACATTGGAATGGAAAGTGCGTTCTCGTTATCCACCGCCAACATCGTTATCTGAACTTGCCACCATTTTGCAGGAAGAATGGTATAATATTCCCTTGGCAAACATACAGGAACTGTATTTATCCATTCCGAGAAGACCGCAAGCTGTTTTGGATGCCAACGGGTTTCCTACACCTTATTAAGCAAAGAAACATGTTTTTTTAAAGGTGTTTCCATATTTTTGTACAACCCCTGTATGTCCCAGCGGTCAGGACTGATGGGACATATATGTCCTGGTCCTAAATCCGTGTTCAAAATTTTTCTAAAAATATAACATCTTAGTTTTTAGCATTCTAGTATGCACTACTCATAGTTTATGTTATCAAAATTGCTCTGTTAAAAAAAAAAAAAAAAAAAAAAAAAAAAAAAAAAAAGAACTCGTCGCGAAAGGGTTAACCGCTTGCCTGATCAGAGTTACCAACTGTCCCGTTTTAGGCGGGAGACTCCCGATTTTCGACCG